TTTTTTTTTTTTTTTTTTTTTTTTTTTTTTTCTAGCTGGCTCCTTGTTGGGTAAAATTCAGGACTTGCGTGATTACTTTGTGTAAATGGGTATAAATGGTTTGTAGTGAGCTTGGTATGTGCGGTATAGTATGAATGGTATATGTAGCATTCTGTTTGTGTGTTAGCCAAGTAAATTGTGTGTTTTGGTTTTGTTAGTGTATTACAATACTTAACGTTAAACAGGTTGATAAGAAAAATAAAGTACAGTAATAAAGCGTTAAGCATGGTACACGTAGAATTAACATAATATAAATCCTTATCAAAATCATATAAACTAGATTTTCTTATTAACAGTAGAAAACAATGCACTAGTCACTTCTGTAATTTAAGTTTAGTTAGGTCTTCCTCTGAATCAATTCGCTTAAGTAGTGATCCTTCTTCCTTTCTTAAATATACCTTTCCATGGGATGTCCAACAGAACTTATATTTTTCTTGGGCAGCATAATCTCTTGCTAGAAAGTAAAGTCGTTTGGTTTTAGGCGATAGATTTTCTGAAATATAAATGGGTACCTTAGGGCCCTGTATCTTTAATTGCTCGGAGTTAAGTTTATTATTACTATTTCCCTTGTTAAATTTCTTCGCAAGTTTTAAAACAGTCTCTTTTTGTTTAACTGTATTCAGGTCTACAATAACTGTCGAGTTATTCGATTTCTTATTCACTCTAAATATGTCTTTGACAACTATATCCTGGGTCGGTAGATTTATAATTTTACAAACGTCATGTAGGCAGTCCATTAGATCTTGTTTAGTTTCTCCAGTTTTCTTCGGGATATTCCGGATTTCAATACTAGAAGAACGATTTTGCTGTTCTAACTTATCTATTTTTTCTTCTAGCGACCGTATAAACATTTTATCCGCTTTTCTATCTTCTTCTATCTGTTTCATTTTCGTTAGAATTTCGTCATATTTCTGGGCCGTAAAATCCACAGACTCCTGGAGTTTGACATTCTGCTCTTTAATTTCACTTATAGTAGTTTGTAAATCTTTAAGCACAGCCATTATTGTATTTTTAAAATCATCAAAATCGGCTTGATCTGTCGATCTGTCTCTCTTCCTTTTCGTTCTCAGTGTCGGTTTAGATGGTATGACGTTGGTACTAAAGGTAGAACATAAGTCTGGGTCTGATTGACTATGTTGTGTCTGAAGTGGGTGGACGTCTAATGCAGCACCGGTTGCCGTTTTCGGTGGAGTTCTTTTCAAGGGCATTTTATTTTATTGAATAAAGAGGAAAATTAAATATAAATATTGTTATGTTGTATCTATGTACAACAATAACCAGTATATAATTTGCCAGACAATATTTCACATTCAATACAGTTACACAAGTTTTTTATCTATTAGCTTTTTTATTTTTACGTTTAAATTATCACTGCAATGCCAATCATTAGTAGACTTGGTTTTGTAAACATCGTCACATTCTAAGTAAGATGTGACAAATAAATATAATTCAATTTATTGTAGGTAGTCTTGTAAGAATGTTGCAGTACTCACGAATCATTTATGTACTTTCCGTACACAGAATTGTTTTATCAAGTAACTTTTAATCACTCACTTATTGAATTGTTACAAAGTTAACTATACCAAACTTTTAGTACTATTTTTTAATATGTTTGTTAACACTTGGACAAGTATTTGTTATTTAAATTCGGGTGACACATCTACTCAACACTGCGTCCGCGGAGGAAGTGATTATATGATTAATTAAGGATAAAAAGCATCTGGTTCATACTTCTCCATGAAACTGATTTTGGTAGCAAACTATATAAGTTTTATCGTAGTTTTTGTATTATTACAGCAGTCATTAAAATTAGTAATTAAAAATGAAAATAATGTTTCACACCTTAAAACTTAATTGTCGTTATTTTAAATATCGTTTTTTGAACTATAGTAATCGGAATACTGAATAATTTTCACATTTCCATCACATAAGAAAATGTTCCGAATCACTTTAATATATTATATTATATGTAGGTTTCTGTTATAAAATAAAGATAGGTACTTTTCATTTTAAAAAAATACTTTATTGTCTATTCATTTTAATCTAACATATTAAAATGAAAACTACGTTTGTTCGCTAAATCTTAATAACATCTTAATAATGTGCAGCGTGCACTAAAGGGGCGGCATGGTGTAAACGTGATGCGGAGTACGCCAGGGGAACCACGGGAACTGCGTGTGCTACCACAGGGGACACCACGGAGTGAGATACAATAGCTGGGCGGGACACCACGTCAACACGGGATTGATGCGAGACAGCTGCAGGAGCGTGGGCAACGGCAACAGGGGTGATAATGTGTCCCAAAGAACGTTTCTTCAGCAGATGTCCGTGGCCGGAAAGGGCAAGAGAAGAGTGCGCACCGAGGATGGGGGCCGCAACCACGGAGTGGGAAACGACAGCAGGGCTGGTGCGGACATCGACACGAGACTGATGAGAAACAGCGGCCGGAGCGATAGCGTGAGCCACGACAGGCGCGTAGGCGGCGCGTGCGACAACGGGCGCCACGACGGCGTGCGCCACGGCGGGAGCGGTGATAGTGTGTGACACGACGGCTGGGCTAGACACGACATCCACGCGGGACTGATGAGACACAGATGCGGGTGCAGTGGCGATGACTGGTGTGGCGTGAGCTACGAAGGGCGCGGCGTAAGCGATGTGTCCCAAGGAGCGCTTCTTCAGTTGGTGTCCATGTCCGAACCCTACAGCGGAGTGTCCCAAGAGAGGTGCGGCGTAAGCACCATGTATGGCCAAGACAGGAACGGTATGCGCGGTGACAATTGCGGGGCTGGTTCGCACGTCCACACGGGATTGATGAGACACAGCGGCAGGTACAGCGGCGATCACTGGAGCGGCATGTGTTATGACCGGGGCCGCGTATGCGATGTGTCCTAAGGAGCGTTTCTTCAGCAGGTGTCCATGGCCGAACCCAAGTGCAGAGTGTCCCAAGAGAGGAGTGGCGTAAGCACTATGCGCGGTGACAATAGCCGGGCTGGTTCGCACGTCCACACGGGACTGGTGAGAAACGGCGGCAGGCACTGCGACCACAGGGGCAATAGCGGCGTGCGCTACGAAAGCGGCTCCATGGTGCGACGGCTGCGCCAACGGGATCAGAGATGCGCACGCCACAGCGGCAAGAGCGGAGAACACCACCAGCAATTTCATTTTTGAATCGTGGTCTGTGTTGTGATTTAGCGAACACTATCACTTCAAACCGATTATCGGTTGACTGATAATGCAACAATGTTGTCAACGGCTTTTATACTGTCCACAGTCAAATTAGTAATTAAATTATAACCATATGAGGCTAAAAATTAATGTTTGTGAAACGACAATGTCAAGTGTCATATGAAAGTAAACAGCCTCGAGCCTTGCCCTAAGGACTTTTATGTTCATTTATGTCTCAAATTCGCTAAATTTAAATCAGTTATACAAACACAATTTGCGTAATCAGCTCAACGTTATTGAGTATCGATTTAATAAAAGATATTAACGAACAAAAGATTCTTTTTATCGCAATGAGAATTATCTTTAAGTTGTCAATCGCTTCATCTAGGCTGTAGTTTGACAAAATGAAGCGTTGCCAAATCTTAACCGATTTAAATGTTAGTTTAGTTTTAATATCACTTTTAACATAGAATAACAGTTATTTTAAATTTCAAGCATATCTATTACCGCTAGTGACTTTGGATCAGTTCTGTTTAGACTATGTTGATAAAAGTATGTAAACTGAAAAGGTGATTGAAAAATGATGACATTCAACAATCAAAACTTCTCATTATACAAATCTTACATGTCGATAATTCGCATTGACTTGAATATTTCACTCGGAAACATTTTATAATGGAGCAATGTCGGTACAAACCGGAAATCAAATAAAATTGTAACAGTATATTTCCGTTATTGAAAGTCATGTTTATTATTTTTTTGCTCTTAAAAGTATGTTATAATATTTGTCTATACATATATGTTTTTGTTATTTAATCAATGAATATTCTGCCCAAAAAACCCAGAAATTATTTAGTACCATCGTTATTCTGTAGCTTTTACATTTGGTTCAACATTTAGATAAATATGTGTAAAATGTTTTGTTTTGTTTAAGTGATTTTTTTTGCCATTTATTTTTTCCACCATTACATAATACCATCGTGACAGTGCCACTCAATAAGAAAACACACTTTGAAAGTAAAATATTTTATTTAAAACGGTAGGTATGGATTTGAAATTTACAAAATCATGAATCCATTTTAAGCCATTAAGAACCAAACTTAAAAGGTTAAAATAAATTCAACGATATTTTTTTTATTTTATGTAGTTACAATGTTTACCAAGAAGTAGCGTAGACTGATGGGGTCCAGAGCGAGCGAGCGTCGACGACAGCAGGCGCTGCCACAAGATGTTGGTTGTAAACGGCAGGAGCTACCACCTGCTCGGTCAAGAGCGCCGGGGAGCTGCGCACATCGTAGCGAGACTGGTGGGAGACAGCGGCGGGAGCGGCGTATAGGGGCGCAGAGTACACTGTGCGAGCGTCAACCACAGCGGGCGCCGCGGCAACCACGGCGGGAGAAGCGGAGACCACTGCAGGAGAGGTGGCGACCACAGCAGGAGAAGTGCGCACGTCCACTCTTGATTGGTGAGACACGGCTGACCCGGTCGAGTATACTGTAGCAGCGGGAGCGTAGACGGAAGGACTGGAGTACACCACGGGCTCGACTACCTGAGTTGCAAGCACGGATGTGGGTACAGTGTAGGCGACAGCATGTCCAACAGACCTCTTCTTCAGGCCAGGCTCACCGCTAGGTGCGGCAGCCGCCAGCGCCAACGCAGCAACGAACACCACCAGCGATTTCATTATGAACGTGGTCTGTGTTTTTAGACGTTAGAAGATCACTTCAAGCTGTCAAAGCCGACTGATGTTCGATGTTTTGCTGTAACACTATTTATACGGATGACCATAATCTATGCATAAATCTATTGCGAGCGTTATTTGGGCGTCGTGTAATACAAAACCCACTGTCCTCGGTTGCCGAATTTAGTTGACAAAAATGTCGCACTTGCGCTTGTTACAGATGTATCGTTACGGGCTATTGCTTGTCCTTGGCATTTCTTTTAATTACACTAATAGGCTGAATTCGCACATAAAAACGTTATTTACTGAAGTTTGGAAACATTTGTCTTGTTAATGACGGACATGTCCGCTTAATATCCGCAATTATTTCTTATAAATTATTGCTATCCAGTATGAATATTAAATTAATTACATAACAATTGACATTTTGAGTCTCCGTTTTAATTACATTTGAATAAACATTTGGGTTCAAACTTTTGGCACAGACGAACGTGTCATTTGAAGTTTTGCAAATATATTTTTCTACCAATATATTTAGGAATTAACACTTTAAATATAATTGAACATACTTTATAATATAGATTATTTGAAACACGATTAAAAATTATACAGTAAAACTAATAATATAAATGTAAAGGTAAGTCTCTGAAATCATTATGATATAGTTCATAATCTTTCTCATATTTCAGGTTCAACAATGCGGAAGATCACCAAAGGTACAAAGAGACTATGAATATCCGTTTAGTTACAGTGTTACAAAGGCGAATTGATCAGCTATGGATCGAAATCCTGTCATAAACGAATACATAAATTTTACGCACCTAAATCTTGGTCTTCCTCACCGAATATTTATTTTTAAAATACGTTTGGTTATGTTCATTCTTTCCTATGATCCTCCATCATAGAAATTGGGACATAAAGTAAGGATCTTATAAACTTAACGCTTTATTCATATGTCATGAAACAAGAAAATATTGATTTAGCTAGTATAGATTGGGACTCTATTAATACTAAGGTAAGTAATACGTTTAAGTTTAAACCTTTCTTATTTTAGTTTGTGTAAACATATTATTTGTTAGTTTTTCGTAAAGCTAAAGATATGTAAATTGTCCTTTATATTTTACTGAACTTTAATTAATTGACAGAGATTGAATTTTTTCTATTGTATTGTTCACATTAGTAAGAGTCCAAAAAAAGGTATAATAATGTTTCTCATTTAGTTTGAACGTCCCCTTAATTAGAAAAAAATTCTGGGAATGATGCCGGATGTCAGAGACGGATTTTCCCTTTATTGTTTCAAACTCGCTCGAGTCAAAATGTCAACAGATACGAGTATGTATACGTATTCATATGAGTATGTATACAGGAAAAAAAGTACATAAAATTAATCCAAAGAGTTCAAAGATACATAATTATCGGTACAAATACAAGGTCAATGTCTACCTACTAACAGCCCACAAAAGCCCTGACGTTAATAACATGATCTACATAGTGTCCGCCTTTCGAAAAGCTGTTTGTATTGTACAAACATACATGGAGGTAAAAAGATATCACACTAGCTTTTGCCCGCTACTTAGTTTTCGTGCATTTAAAAGATTTTATGTCGTTGCTATCAGCAACTATTGAATAATTGTATCAAATCATGGACAAATGTATCCCTAAAGTTATCGTATATAGCACATTTCAGACTATGTTTTATATCGGTGCTAAATATTCATATACATTAAATGTATTTTTCAACCAAACAAAACTTAACACTTATAATAAATACTAGCTTTCGCCCGCGACTCCGTCCTCGCAGAATTAAAAAAAAATACTTTATTATTAGCCTATGTGTTTTTCCGGAATGTGTTCTATCTATATGTATGCCGAATTTCAGAGAGATTCATGCAGCCGTTTTGGAGATACTTTGTAACAAACATCCATCCATCCATCCATCCGTCTAAATATTTGCATTTATAATATTGGTAAGATTACTTAGATTACTTATACTAAGCAAGTAAGCACGGCTATTGTCGAACGAAATGGTCACTGCAATACGTGAAACCTTTCACACCATACTTGGCTAATATACGAACTTAACTAATGACAACACTTTGCGAACAATGCCAACTCTACCAAATTTAGACTAACTAATAAAGTAACAAAGTAAAGACGCACTTACACAATCCATTTATACCTTTTTTTGCGCCACTAAATACAATAATGTGGTGGGTAATTAAAGTAATTATGGCTCTTAATGTTTAAAGTTTTTTTTTTTATTTGATATGATTGTGTAAGGTTTTTAAAAGGGAAATAAACTATGATGCGAGGTATAAGGAGTTTGTTTTCATCAGAACTAAATGAAAAGTATCTATTGGCGGTAAGTCACCGTATCAATGCACCTAGAACAAAAAAAATAACTTTTTGATAGGGTTCAAGAACATAACCAATCAGCGATCTAAGAATTTGCGTAGAGTTAGTAGAGTGCACCTTGATCCACTCCTTTTACTAAAATCCAGAAAAGTGACAATGACATCTATCAGAAAAATCAAACTCTAAAATGTTAAACTTGTTGGGCTCTCATACGCCATCTATTGTTACTTAAATTATTAAGTAAGTTACTTCTTATTAGCAATGTAGTGAATAATTACAATTACTTACTTCAACAATAGATGGCGTTGATTTATGTACAGAACACAACGAAAACGGTTTTTTTTTTCATTTTTCAGAGTGTGAGACTAACATTTTTGATTATTTCTTTATTTTTTTAATATCTTTGTCCAGGAGTTTCGGCGGTGTAAACTTACGGTTACAATATGTTATGTATTCTAGATATGTATTGATATATTTTATATATATTATTTAAAAAGATTATTATGTCCACTTCCTCCTCAAAAAGTTTACAAAAACAAACAAAATATAAATGAAATAATTTTATTTCAATCAACATTGGTATCAAATGCTCTGATCTCGTAAATGGTAATGAAGTATTGTTTAATTAGAAATTTACGAGCATTCTTGTGACAAACATATCTGAGAGAAAGCATCGGTGAATCTTCTCACAGTACTAACACACCTACAATTTTCATTACAATTCTTATTACATAGCCCATTGCATTAAAAACCATTATTACCACTGAATTATTATTGTTTCACTTAAATTAAAAACAAGGTAAAACAAACAACATTATTTAACACTAGTTATGTATGTACTTGATATACACAAGTATTAGAAAAAATAACCTTAATACAGCTTAATAAGTGTAAAAACCCGAAGAGTGTCCCGAATGAAGTTTCGCCAGGAGTCCTTGGCAGGAACGTAGGGAATCCCAACATTACGCGGCCGTATCATACAATCGGCCGAAACTAGGTCATTGATTTGATTAACACAGAAGTTGAATGGAGTCACGTCCGAACTAAAATTATTTTACGTCTTTAAACAATTTAAGTACAAAGTTATTATGTAATAAATGTAGTATTACGCATCTAAAAACAAAGTATGTTATTTATAATTCGTTTAATTTTTTTTCGTATAACTTTTAAATTATTTTATTTAACCTTCAATGGTGTTATTATAAAAAATATCTATGTATAATTAACAACAATATTGTCCTTCAGTGCTAAATATACTACGGTAAATTTTTATAAAACATATATTCAGTTCAGAATCTTACAACTGTTTCTACCTATTTACTTTTCAGCCATTATTGTGAAGTCAAAATTAAAAAAATATTTCATTTGTTTATTTATACAAATTTAAGTAAAGAACTATCATAGCATATGGTCTATAATCTATAGTATTTTTATATATATATATATTATAACGACTCCACAGATTTTGTATTCAAGAATAAGACTTGCTTGACCTTCGCTGCCAATTGCAATAGAAGCAATTCGGAAAATCCGTGTTCAAAGCTTGCAACACAGTTTTTTTACAGTCATAACAGCATTGCATGTTTATGTATGAAATTGCTGAAGAAAATGCATATTTAGTTATATTCCAACATTCGCAAAACTATATGTAACGTTCTCTTTGAAACAGTCTCAAGAGATATACTTAATAAGTACTGAGGAAATGTAATGATAAGTAAAAGCCACGTGAATTTACACTATATTTAATAAAAACGAACAGCTTCTAAAATAATAATATCTAAAAGCATAATATACGTAATAGTCCTTTTAAAATATGAAGCTATTGTCAAATATGAATTGACGATACAACGGAAGTTGATTTTACCAATTCATCACTAAATTATATACAAAAACTTTTTTTATTTAAATGAATCGTAGTCGTAATGAATACAATAACATACTAATGTAGTTAATAGAGGCCAGTTATCTTGAAGTATAGAGGATGTTGTAACTATTTCTATCTTGCATAATACAATTTACAGTTCCAAACCTCGACTAAAGCGTATAAAAAATGTAAATAATGTAAGATGCCTTTGGTGTTGATTGCCTCAGATTACTACCGATGCATCGCTCGCTATAAGTTCGTTGCACTTTTGTTAGCAACGGAAGTCATCGCTGCGATTACGTAAGAAATGATTTAACTCGAACCGTAACAACTTTGTTTACAAGCGACTGAAAGTAAATAATTCGAATTTCATCTTTATCATTAGCACTGATCAAGTAGATGCAGACATTTCGTATGGTACTGAAAATCAGTCTATTAATAATTCATGGCTCTAGTTCCTTTCCTAGAGACAAACATTAGGTCATTATTTACTTTCCCATTATATTTTTTTTTGCCATACTTAGGAATTTTTTTTGTCGCTTTTTGAACTCTGCCAATCCAAAGGTCAGACTTTTAAGCTTAAACGATTTCTTTTTATGACGCATGTCGCATGTCCTGTATTAAGTATGCACTATTGTAACATTTTAAACAATAACGTGCATCAGTTGAGTATTGAAGACATAGATCTGGTTCAGCGAACCGTTGCGCAAGCCGTGCCGCCGCTGCGCCCGCGCAAGTCCGGTTCGCGTTTGCGCTGGAAAGCCCCTCTTATGCAAGCCCTCTACGCAATGCCCAAATTCATCCTGGTGTACAATTACAACCTAAAAATTACACTCTTTAATATATGGTACTGGAATATTTGACAAATTTTTTGAACATTTATTTTTGTAACATCTACCGCACTTAGAGTTGTTAACAGCAAACTATAAATATGCTTAGTTCTTATAAGGATAGATATGCCTCCTGTGTTAATTCTAAAAATAGTCCTTATGCTACCTATAAAAGACTAATTAATTGCTCGTAATTTCAAATAACACATTTCCGGCATTATTATAGTGCATCTACAACATTTAACTCATTCAATTAAATTTAACAAAATATGCAATAAAATGTTTTTTTTTTTGTAACACATAAATTTTATGCTCACATGGTAAACATGTGCATATTGAGCGCGTTGAAATCTTTTATATGACAAGTTAACATGTGAGCCCATGCGTGCCATATTCTACACTCAATGTATGACTTAAACTATGTTTTGATATTAGGTAATATTTTCTTATAAGCTTGATAGTAGACCAAGCTTCCTTTAATGAAGTAGTGAAAGTGGAACAAAGCCAACTATGGGGACGACGCAAGTAATTCCATAAAATTCTCAACTTTATTAATAAATATATTACAGAATGACTGGTGTAACACTTAACTATGAAGCAAAATGCTAATAGTGCAAGACTAAACCACAATATGACCCATATATAAATATCTAATTCTATAAACAATCAGTAAATCCTTGCCAAGAAATCTAATTTCGTATAAAACATATTCTATTGTTCCATAAAAGCATACGAACAGTGTCCATATATTCTGGCTATCTTAAATTCAATTCTATGATATTTTAAAACTAAATCCTTTTTTCCTCAACTTTTATAAATTACAAGGACATCTACAAGATGCCTCAAACAGCAAATCCGCTATCGTGACCCCGATGACATCCCAGTTGCATAACGCTTATTCAGAACCCAGACGTGAATGATCCGGAGGGTTGATCAATGATATTGACGTCAGACCCCGTACCAAAATCATTAACAATAAACCAACTCGCACACTTTTGCGTAGGAAACAACGATACAGTTTGGCGATATTGTCTCCGTTAGAGTTTAATGGTACAAGTATGAGTCGATCATCTTACAAAATCGAGCAGCGTGCATCTTTGCGTTGGTTGAAGTATAAAGCGTTGTCGACGGAGTGGTGGCAGTCATTCGGACGCAAACAGAGCGTCGGTGAAGTGGTGAAAACGACTTAAAACAAGTTGTTATTTATTAGTGTTAAAAAGGAAAAAGTGTAAGAAAAAGTAAGTTTATAGTGCCTGTGATAATATTAATCAGTGAAAGAGTAACAATAACACAAATTTAATATAATTTTTAACAACATTTCATACAAACTTAAGTGTTAATTATCTTAACCCGCAGTTCCATTATTTAAAAGAAATTATATATATGGTGAAAATTTTTTTTATTAGGAACGAGAAATATTATTAAATTTCCCCACCCAACCAATGGAAACAGACACCTCTTAATTGCTATGCTTGGTTAAAAATAATGACTCTTAAATTCTAACCTATTAATAATATGTTATTTGATATTTATGCGTTATAACGCATTTTGAATATAAACGGTACTTTTATATTATTTCACTACATTATATAAGTAATAGAGATGACTATCATGTCATCTTTCTATATAATAATGTACGATAGCCTTACTCATAATACTTTCACTGTCTAACGAAGCATGTAGCAAGCTCTCTAACTCACGGCGCGTATCAGGACTATTACCATGCCAACTGCATTTGAACTTTCCATTTAAACAATGCTTCGAGGGATAGTTAACTTATAAAACTACAATAAGTAAAAGTCAGTAAACAAAAGAAGACTATGTTAAATAATGAGCAACAACTCATAAATTGCATAATGCGGTTACGGATTTGTTACGTGAAAAGATGACGCATAGACGCGATGTGCTTACCAAATAGCTTCTTGTGCCGGTTTCGGATCGACAGTGACACCAATTCAATTTCTTTCATAACAAAAACAATAAACAAACCTATTAGTCGAAACCATAAAATGTTTAAGTGACTTTTATCGCATCCGTTAGCATCTTTGGAAAAGAAATTATTACTTATTCAATAAGGCTTTTTATTTTCTCTACATGCCATATTGTACATAAAATACTGTAACTTAATTAAAATTTTTAACCTGTTATAGTAAACATACATAACAGTGTACGTAATACGTCACTTCAACATCCGACATGTGAGAGTGCTTTCGCAGGCCCACGCTAGTGAACGCGCAGGCTCGGTCGCTCGCCGGCTAGTATTATTCGCGTTTACATAATACCGACCGTCTGCGAAAGTAAAAGCACTCGCAGAGAGTTTCGAAACATCATCGTTTTAAATGCGTTAAACGAGATTAAATAACACCAATATTTCAACGCTATTCTTATTCACAGAACATGCGGTGGTCTTTATCAAGTTGTTTACTGCTATCAATAACAATAGCGGTTGTAGCAGCAGACTGGTCCTGGGGAAACGAGAAAAATACCGAAGTACAAGAGCAAAAAGAAAAATCTACTGAATTATTAGAAGGCGAGCACCTTACTGTGGCTCAAGACAAAAGCCTTGAAACTAATGAGACAGTGCTCGACGGAATTGTTGATGAACTAATTAATGGCAAACAAGGAAGAAGTTTGGGTGGCTTCGATGAAGTGTACGGTGATCCCACCATAAAAGAAGCACTGGATTCGGGAGATGATACCGAAGCGAGAAACCTCATCAAAGATCGTCTGTGTACTTTAGGTCTCATACAGGTTAGTTTATTTGCACATTAATTAATTAAATAATTAATATTAAAATAACGTGAAATTTTATTATCCTTATATAAATGATTTTTTCTATATTTGTTTTACTTTTTTTTAGTGTGAAGAAGGCGAAACTCAAGAAAAGCGGACCTATGTGTCTCCCGACGACCTCATTTACGCACAGCCTGTGGACATAAAGCCTATCGGTAAACCAGTTGCTTCTATTGCAATTCGAGGACCTCCAAGAGCGTACGGTCCACCAAAACCGATGCCATACCCTTCTCGTCCACAAAAGCTGCCACCAAAGAGAATCGGATACGGAGGCAACATTCGCCCCGGATTTTCAGACAAATATGGCCTTTCTGGTAGCAATTACCAATTTTCTCAAAACAGCGGAGTATACAATGCCCATGAAAGTAATTTCGTAACAAAGCCGCCAATATATGCCAATGAAAGACCCTATGCTTTTGAAAATTCTAAGCCTACTTACAACAAAGTACCTGCTAACGTCCAGACTGGGGTCAAAACAGACATCGTGCAACAACATGTACACCACCACTACGTTCACAGTGATGCTGAAAAAGATCCTAAAGTTATCATTAAGCCTGTAGCAATTCCTGTCGGATCTGTTGGACATTTAGGATCGCAAAACTTTGCTCATGAGTCATCTGACGTTATAACAGCATCCGGTGGTGACTACAGTTCAATTACATCGGGGGGCTTCAAACCTATGACAGGAAACTATCCATTGTACACAAAACCAGTGTACGAAGCAGATACCGTTTACGGTTCCCAATACGGTCATAGCAATGTCAATAAGGGAAGTGCCAATATTGCATCCCAATCTTTACCTAATCAATATGCGAACAACGTCTTCGATGATCAAAAGTACAGTAACTCATTAGGAAGTTACGCGTCTCAAAATACAGAATTTTACAAGAAAGAACTTAATGTGGGATCCGCTAACAATTTATACAACCAAGGTCCAGCAACTTTCGGTCAAAGCAACCAACAAAATTACCAACAAAATTATCAACAAAGTTACCATGAACCAAAAGCTCAAGGGTTCGACTGCGTTTGTGTGAACTACGATCAATGCCCCAGCCAAGAAATAATTGGCCGCAGGGACGACTTATACTTGCCTATCGATCCTCGTAATAAAGGCAGTGAAATTACAGCACTTACTGAAGAACAACTAGACAACTTAAACGCAACTGTAACTTCAGATTTAGAAGTCGATGCACAACAAAATCAAACAACCGTCAAGAGCATAAGCAAAAGAGAAGCGACTACTGAAAAACAGGATGACACTGACAAAGAAGCTGAACCAGTAAGTGTAACTAATATTTGGTATAGTTAGAAATATAAATTAACATAAACATAATTTCGCATTCCATACTGATCTCTCTTGACGTTTCACATCCTCTTAAATCCATATTACGACTCCTTCATGATCATTATCATCAAAATAGACTGGGGTAACAACTTACTCGTGTATTACAACTGGATATGAATGATCTGCAGATTTTATATATCATATCCATTTGCAATATCGTACAAAAGAAAAACTAAACAATGGGCACTTACAAATAGCTAACAATATATTTGAAATTATTTTATTTACAAAATACGATATTACTGCAGCGCGTCTTCGGACTGGCCGGCTACGGCGGCAATGGCGGTAATAACAACAAACAAGTGCAGCCCACGTTTGGTGTCTCTTTTGGGTTGCCCCAGCCTTCCCACGGTGGATATCCCATAAATCCCTTCAATGCTAATCCCATATACAATCCTTATGGTCCAGCTTTGAATGGTGGTGGCATTAATTTAGGATTGCTCTCGGTTAACCCTTTACTAGCCGTCCAAGTGACCAAAAATGATTACGGGGAAAAAATTGTAAAACCATTTGTCAATTTACACGTTACGCCTAACGAGCACGTCGTCAATAAAATTGGTGATTTATTCCATGAAAAGAAACTTTATCTTTTGAACAAGCACGAACATTACCATCATCACAATCCTTACGATGTTTACCATAACAAGCCTTACGCGTATCCTCATCACGAATATGGCCCGCATCATAATTACCCCGCTCCAATATTTTCTCCGCACTCGCCTCATTATGGCGGTTATTACAAAACAAGTCCTTATAATTCTCCAGAACCGCATGTAGGTAATGAGGACTATTATGATGATGATAATACGAATGTTAATGATGATCAGGTTGATTATAATTATCAAAACAATGGTTTTTATACCCCGAGCTTCGAGAGGTCCGCTAATGTAACAGCTGATAATCACAATAGCTACGCTAACAGATACGCTTATTCCCGTTCCTTAACTGTTCCTTCTCACCGTCCTGGGGCAAACCGGGGCGGCCAGAGTATACGATTTCCTGAGAATAGAAGGAAGAGAGAAGTTTCTCTAGAGAAATCTATTGAAGAGGTAATATAATTTAATTGTCGTCAAGAAAATTGTAGGCCCATAGTAGTGTTATAGTCTTATTGTAGATTGTATAATAAGAAAACTGAAACTTTATCTTCTTTATAGCGTCAGGGATACTTCGGACGCCCCAGTCCACAACGATGCCAACAGAACCAAGTGTGCTGTCGCCGACCGTTGCGTCCTCAGGCATCCAACCGAGGCCAGTGCGGTATCCGACACTCACAAGGGATTAATGGAAGAATAAAGACACCCTCATACATAGATGGCGACAGTGAATTTGGAGAATATCCGTGGCAAGCGGCCATACTGAAAAAGGATCCGAAAGAATCAGTATATGTGTGTGGTGGTACACTTATTGACGGACTTCACATTATGACTGCTGCTCATTGCGTTAAATCGTAAGTATTTGATAAATATCGTTTATTTTTAGTTAAGTCCTTCGTACCCGAATAATATTATTCACAAAAAATTAATAAAGCTAAAAACAACGAGATCAAAATGCCATATCAGTTTAATAACATCTATTACATTTTCTATAGATACAAAGGATTCGAGCTAAGAGTAAGGCTAGGCGAATGGGACGTGAACCACGATGTCGAGTTCTACCCTTACATCGAGAGGGACGTAGTGTCTGTACACGTGCACCCGACGTACTACGCTGGCACGTTAGACAACGACCTTGCCATCCTGAAGCTGGAGCATCCAGTCGACTGGACCAAATATCCGCATATCAGCCCCGCCTGCTTACCAGACAAGTACACCGAGTACGCCGGACAGAGGTGTTGGACCACCGGATGGGGAAAAGACGCATTCGGTGACTATGGAAAATACCAGAACATTCTAAAGGAAGTCGATGTACCAATCCTAGCCCACGGCCAATGCCAGCAACAGTTGAAACAGACCAGGTTGGGCTACAATTATGAGCTAAACCCCGGTTTCATCTGCGCGGGTGGTGAAGAGGGCAAGGACGCGTGCAAGGGCGATGGTGGTGGCCCCCTGGTATGCGAGCGTAGCGGCACGTGGCAGCTGGTAGGCGTCGTCTCTTGGGGAATCGGCTGCGGCCAACCCGGCGTGCCTGGCGTCTACGTTAAGGTCGCACATTACCTGGACTGGATCTCGCAAGTTACTGGAAAATTCTCCAATTATTAAGAGATCGTAAATAGTATTTATTACCATTGATTTAGATATTAACGTTTATTTAATAAAGAATTTTAATTTATTATTTAACTTTGGGCGGTAATGCTCAGAGAATACGAGTAATCGCATATGCAGATTTTTGTAAATTAAACCATTTAAATATACTTTTTAGTAATATATTCGACTCTTTTCGTTTTTAATTCCAACCTTAAAAAGTTAAGAAAATATAATGAAGTAACTTTACTCATTTGGTTTCTGGGATGTTTGCTATGATAATATAGCGTGCAAAAAATAAAATGAAAATAAAATCACGAATCAAGATAATAATTTTGAATTTATAATTAAATTTTAATCCATTTTTGCTATCATGAATTTATGGTTATTTTTTATTTAAAGACACCTATGGAAGTGTTACAGAAAAACGTAAATTAATAAACTATTACAAAAGATTTATTCGTTCTGAAAAATTTGCACTAGATGGCGCTGTCCTAGCAAACAGACTATTTTTATGATTACCCGCATACAATTTCACGGATATTATCCAAAATATCATATTATTCTGATTTTACTTTACTCTTGTACCACGAAAATTGTTGTTTAAATAAAATAATCTCGTTGATTAAATTAATTAACAGGCACGTGTAAAAGTATTATTAAAAATTAAAAAAGAAGAAATAATAAAACATCAAATTATTTTGTCAATTTAATGTCAAAAAAGAACGTCATAAATAAATCCGAAATAAAGCTTACCTAATAAACATAATGACGGGCCGTACAACGGATCGAAAAGGCAAATCTAAAGAGTTAAAATCGCTTACAAATGAGCTTCAAAACGAAATAGCCGCATTCACGTTACCCAACAGCTTACCTTGCTCTGAAATAGACTTTCCAATAGCACCAAGAAGAAAACCACGCGCCAACTGGGACGAAATACTAGAGGAAAGTGATGAGAAGTTTCAAGAAATTGAAGAGTACGAAGATAGTAAAAAAGGACGACAACTGTTATCGCCATTTCTAAGTATATCGTTATTTTAACCCGTTACATGCCACTTTGAATTTGAACATTGAACGTGTTAAAACTGGGATAAACGCCACGCTAAAAGCGGACCACAAAATCTCGTAACTATTCAAAAAAAGCATACACAATGATGTATTTTAATAATTTTACAATTCCAAAAACTTATTTTGTTATGTTTTATATTTAATAAAATAATTTAAGTATTGGCAGATACTGAATGCAATTATTTGAAAGAAAAAGTCTTTGTCCACTTACAACCAGCCTTGGAAGAGACTCTTCATAAGGCTCAGATTTGGGAAGCGTTGAAACAACAAAAGTGTTTCTTCAATGGTATTGATCACATAGCACAAGTGAGTCAAACAAGAAGGTATAATACTGATTTAAACATAAATAGGTCAAGAGGGCTATTGGCCCATGTACAATGTTTACTGCCGTTACATATTCCATTTACAGAATAATTGCTTCCATTCTTACAGTTCAAGTTAAACACCACCCGTTTCTTGCAAATAACTTTAACTACCCTTTACTGCATAGTCTTGAATATTTTTTTGTTACAATATTTGATCTCCTTTAAAACTGACATACTATTGGTTTAACAAAAGATTATTCTTTCATAAGTTGAAAACCCTACATCAAATTTAATTTTATATGTATTTTTTTAATAATTATTTTTTTGTAGGTACTATGGAACAATAATCCAAAACATCCTCATCGTAAAGAACTCAATCTCCATATATTTAATATGCCTTGGGTTAGAGAACTACTAAAATCAAAGTAAGCATAATTATTCACTTCAAATACAGTTTTGAATTAATATCCATTACTCAATGAATTAAAAGCTAGATTATATTTATTTATTTGCCTACCAAGTAAAAGCAATCTATATATATAAAAAAGATATAGTCATCAGAATTTAACATTAATAAATTACTTTCCAGTCCCAGAGCTTATTATCCTAAGTCATGGTTATGGCCTGACGACTACGCAGCAACTGTGATACAGAAAACTGTTCGACAATACTTTGTGCAGAGGGAAGATGATGTTCAAGAGATGCGCAACTTTTGGAGGGTAACCAAAATATCTTTCTTATTAATAACAATTAGTTAAAATTACAATATATGTTAATACAGCATAATTCTGAAGGTTAAGACAGACTATTTTTTTAATAGATGAAGGCTATTGATCTCATTTTTATTTCCTTCAATACAAATTAAAATAATATGTGTATTGATTTAAAAACTTAATGAGTTTATTAGTAAATAAAAGTATTCTTAGCTAATATTATATAGCCATATTAAATCTGGTATTAGTAACTACAAGTATTTGTTGATGTTTAAGAATGTAATTAAACTTTTCAGAAATTGGAAGTGGAAAGAGCCATACCTGAAATACAAGGAAATCCACTTTTGTCTAAAAAATTTGCTACTTCACAAAATTGATACACACTCTTTCTTTTTAATTTTAATTTATTTCAATAAAACTATGCTAATAATTATCTCTCTATTTACTATTGACTATAACTTAGTATTGTAATGTAGATTTAATTCAGTGGGACGCCTTCATATAATGAGGGACTTGCAGGCTTTCCCAGGCCCATAGTGAATTGAACGGTTGGCTTTTCATCTCCTTCAGCGATCCTAGCCACTCTATTAGGACTGGTGTTGTAACTTAGTGGCATCACATACTCTTTCAAAATCTGAAAGCCATAATGAAAATATATAATTATAAAAGAGATTCAAATTATTATAAAAGAGCTCCTGGGTTAGTTACCACTAGATAACAATTCTAATAGTGAAAAAAAAATTATAGTACTGAAAAAGATGTTAAATTACTCTTAAAATTGTATTGCATATAGAAAATTCAAATCAAATTGATTACCTCCATTCCTTTGTTTTCATGATCTTTCATTATAAATTTCTTCATTAAAGGTGGCATTTCTATAGTTCTAGGCAATATGACATCTGGGAAATCATGTACATCTTTGATGGACTTCAGCAAATTTGCCTCTTCATGCTTTGGTATGAGTTTATAGTCAGGCTTATATGATGTTCTATAGATTTCAGTTAATTTTTCAAGCTTTTTACCTCTAAAAGTTTTCTCAACCCATACACGAACGCGACGCCTTTCCTAAAACCGATATAGAGCATTGTTGTTTAGATATTGAACATAGACAGTTAATACGACGAATGGAAATCTTTTTATAAAAGAGGGTTTAGAAAACCAGACTTGTTGTAAAAGTATATTTTCTTACCTCGTCGGGGCATGTTTCAACCTTAACTATCTTCATAAAACTCGGCTCGGGATATCTCTCAAATACAGATCGAACAATAATCCTACCAACTCCAAAGTTTTTTAAACTACCGACAATTTCCCATAACGTCTTCCCCTTAAAATCGGTAGTTCTTCCTACGTATTTTATAACAGTAGTTGTCATTTTTTCACAATTACAAAAACAAGAAAAAGTAAATGTTTAATAAGAGTGAAACAGTCTTCGAAATAGAGTTTAGATAATTCAAAGCAAACTTATTCAAAGTGCATAAATTATTAGAGAAAGTAAACTGTAGTATGGATGAGGTAAACCATAACTAGGTAGTCATTTAATTAAAAAAGTTATATTGGTATTTATTTTCTAACCTATTTTCAAACTCTGCTGTCTTTTTGACACTTTTCACATTTTGATTGTGACATTTTATTTTTGATCCATTCTACGCAATTTACATATAAATTGTTCAATTTTACTTGTTAAAATAAAAAAAACAGACGAATCAATAACTATAAAACCAATTTGAAACACCGTGTCACAATAAATTTTGTAATTATATTATTTCGTTACTTTCCTTAGTATTATGGGCTGCTCAGATTAAACGCAACTTTACGCTATTTTGTGAAAATCCCAAGGAAAACCTGAAAAACGTTTCTGTTGTTTTTTTATTATAGAAACACCAATTGCTTTAAAAATGTCCCGACATTATTGACAAGAAAAAAAATTAAAAGGTCTTTTTCGTACTGTACCGTCACGTCAAGTTTTCTATTATGCCATTTTTATGCCTCTGAAGGTTTTACTTATTTTCTGACACAATTAACCGCAATAGCAGCATCTGTTTCTCCGGCCGGATATCCTCGTTTTATTTTTTTTTAACTGATTTTTTTTGTTTGTGGCAACACCATACTAAAATTTATTTTTTCGACAAATAGAGGAACAGCGCCATCTGTTATCGATTTTCAAAATAATTATCCTTTTTACTGTAATGAAAAAGAATGTTACATTATAGTTTTTTTACAAAATCTTAGCAGCCTAATGTCATCCATCGGCGCATGCCTTCCTTCCGCATCTACCAGGGGGTGGAAACTTAGAAGAAGGACGATTTGTATGGAAAGTGGCGCCACCTTTTAAATCTTGGTAAACATCATTTCATCTCATGGCTAAGAAGAAGAAACATCATTTGTGTCATCGAGACATTCATGTGTCATCAAACCGCTACGTTTTTTCGTATTTCTATTTCTGTTCTTGTATTCTTAGTTAAATGTTGTTTCATTCATTTTGTTTTTAATTAAAATGTATTTTCGTGAAAAACGACGCTGTACGCAACTGTGTTTTAGATGGACTGATTATGGTAAGTTACAATTCAATAAAAATTTTCATGTTATTCCCATACGTCAGACTCATTTAAACATTTAAATATTTTCGTATTTTGGTGTAGTTTTTAGCACCACAGTGATTTATCCTTTCCGGTTATCATATTGAATGGTGCCCTACTTCTAATACATTTTACATATCAGTTCCTATACTTGATAGGAAATCACATTCTGTTTGTTTGTTGTATGTGCACATATACACGGTTTCCCCCTTCCTGAGAGACGGTCAGTGATGTTCAGAAAATGTGTGCCAATCACTGTAATTATAGAGCCATAAACTGATGTGTCTGAAATTAGTAGGTGGGTCCATGTGTGTATATGTAAAAATATATTTTTTTATTTGTAATTTTTTATTGTAAAGAAAAATTTGCTTGCCTATGTTGTAAGAGAATATGTTCAGAGTGTTTAAACTCGCAAATTACTACAAATTGCCAGTTGCCAGCTTGCATGTGACTGAAAATATTTTGGGGTTTGGTTTTAATTACAGGGTATGCATTCTTTTGTGACCGCGCTATACTATTTATTACCGTAAATGTAATTTTCAAATATATATATTAAAAATTAAAATATTGAGCTGATATCTTGAAAGTCATTGATGTATATGTACTTGCATAGATTTAAAATTAAGTTATGTAGAAATATAATAAATAATGTACAAAAATATAAAAATATTTTGTTTTTGTTTCCCCAATAATAATAGGATCATTTTAATAGAGGTATTTCATAGAAGGCTACTTGATATCGGCTCACTATATTAATAACTATATAAGTGGGTATATTATTTTTGAACATTGATTTAATGTCAATTTTAACTTTATTTATTAGATTCCCACTTATTAGTTATTATTATAGTGAGCTAAATAAGCGTGCCTACGTATATAGGTACCAAAAAAAAAATAGTTCAGCGATTATACGCATGGAGCGCCACAATCGCCGTGGATCCACGACTTCGTGCGAGTTGCCCCTCTTTCTATAGTATACTTATTATACTCTTTGGCATCTACAAATAAAATTGTGTTCTGGGCCGCGACGCCCGCGAAGTTAGAACCGGTTAGATCTTGATATCTCTGGCACACCTCTCTTTTTTGAAATCTCAAATGGAAAAGTCAAAATGGTATTACATAATGTAGCGATTGACAAATTTTCAATATATTTAACGATATTAAATCAAAAATGTTCAAAAAATTGGCGTTCTTGGTATTCTATCTAACTTACGAGTGTTTTGAAATGCAAAGTTCAATGTTAATGTTCTGAACAAATAAAACGGGAAAATAAAATAAAAGAAATGTTAAAAATCAACTTTAATTTATTCTCAATTTCTTAATTTTGTTACTTTATGGAATTTATGCAATACAAAAGTTTTAAAATATAATTATAATAGTTAACAGATATTAAATTTTAAATGCAGGTTTATTAGTAACAATGTCATGGAGAAATCCAATATTAAAACTAATTATGTATGCTCAAAGCCAAAAACATCAGTATATCAAAAACTAGTAAAGAAAAGTGAACACTTGACAAACTCGTATGAAGAACTACATTCTAAATTCACTACATTCTGTATGAACTTCCTCGCATTTACATTAAGCCTCTTGACCATCCCTCCAAGGCAAGATTTAGGCATTAAACTACTTGTATAAATTAACTAATTTATTATTCAACTAACTTCAGCAATGAAAACTAAATTGAACACCATGACATTGGAATTTCGATATATAGCTTTAATAATAATTACACAATATAATAAGACAAACGACAAAACACAAATTTGTATTATATATTATCCAAGCATTCCCAAAATTCAAATAAATTTCATTGATATATGTCAGGTGACATGTCCATTGATGGGAGGTCACCCGAAATTGTATTAACCATATTCCCTTTACTAAGACTCGAGGGCACGCATTGTATGCATGCTAGTTAGCATTTTAATGCCCTCAACAATGTACTAAAGGAAAGCAAGCGAGCAGAACACAGTATCGCCATAATTATATATCACATACTTTCGTTCTGCTCTATACTGAAGCTATCCTTCTTATTCTGTTTCCAATCCCAACGACGCAGCATTGCATAAATAATAAACTAGATCACTGCCCCTTTAGGGGTTGGATCACAGGTGGAAACAACCGAAATTGTCTCAACAAATGTTTTTCTAATATTTACTAGCCGCAGCACATTTTTGCCGTTGAGTATTTTAACGTATGTCAATAGTATGCGCGTATATTTCATCCGTCGACTTCAATTTCGGAATATAAATTCGCCTGTCTGTGCTTAGCAACAAACAGTGACCACATACGCGCTATTGTGACGTCACCGACACGACACACACCGAGCTAACGTCTCGTGGGAATTGGAAACAGATCGATATTTTCTAGTTTAATTTCTGTACAACAGTCACATTCCGTTGGCAAACCATTATAATTAAAATAAATAATAATAATAATTTAGCTACAAATTGCCTAGTTACCAACTGGAATGGGCTTCGTGAACACGCGGGTGGTGAGATAACAAGTCCATTCTACAAAGGCCGGTATTAAGTTACAACGGCCCCTTTACATGTTACATCTAAAAGATTTGCGTTAATAATTTACGACAAATATTTACACATCATCGATATATCCACATTTAAATAATTAACTTAAATTAGAATAATTTAAGATAGTCGGGACATACTAATAGGAATCAGTCATTCAGTATCGACACGGAGCGAATGTCTCGGTCCACTATCACGATCACGCGCACGCGCACGCGGCCGCGGCGCGCTCGTCTGCAGTCGTCCGCGCCGCGCTCGGCCGCCACCGTCCGCCACTGTGCGCAACCGTCAGCCACCGTGCGCCACCGTCACTGGCCGTCCGCTACCGTCCACGGCGCACGGTGGTGGCGCGCGCGGGCGGGCGCTCCGTAGCGGACGCGGCGCTCGGAGCGGCGACGCTTCGCGTGCGATTCCGCCCCTTTCCATTTCATGGCATTTGCTAGGCGTACCGTCGCGGCGAATTTTCTTCTAGATGATTCTCGTGCTCGAAATGAAGGCTAGTTAATGTCCTAGGAGTGTGCACTGGGCGGCGCCGGCGCTTAGGTCGTGTCGCGACCATATGTGCCGATGCGCACCTCGTCTATGACGCGCGCCCACTCCAGTGCGTACGACTCCGGGTCTTCTAAGTAATATGTGCGGTTCGGCTGCAACAAACGATAACATTTTCATTAATTACTTTCATATTCTGCTTTGAAAAGACGATAGTATCGAAAAGGTGATCTATGGCAGTAACTAGGATATGTATCTTCGACTACCTTTTGAATGCTTAATTAAATATCGTGGGCAGAAAGTCATTTCACAATCATTCAACACAATATATGAATTAAGCAGTTTTGCTGATATATTAAATATACAAAGTTTTCTTACCGTGTGTACTAAAAATATTCTAAAGTTCTTTGCTTCGACACGTAGCTCTGGCGACCAGGGTATTTCTCCCTTGAGAACCATGTTGACTGGGTCGACGTAGAACAGGCGGGGACCGGTGGTGAGAAGCAGCATGCGGCGGCGCGCAAACAGGCCCTTCCTCTTTTCCACGAGTCCCTGCTTCAATATCAATTCTCCGGCGACGAATTGATGCCATTTGTTTTCACGGGCTTGAACCTCAAGACGGCGACGTCTTTCTTCAGGGCTTATGTTTAAAATTCCTAAAAAGAAAAAGGAAATCAAATTTAATTTCAAATTTTCCAAGCGATGGTTAATGACAGGAGACAATTATAAAAATATTCATAAAATCAGAAAATTTGGATATAACAAAATGAGATTAAAAGAATTGCGGTCGGTCAGCTGTTCGTAAGGCGGCCATTAATAAAGAGATCGGGCGTGGCGCGGCAGTCATTCATACAGTGTCGCAAGCGAGCAAGAACGCGGAGTTCCTGCGGCGCGCCGATTACGTGACGTCACCCATTACTGCACCGTTAGCCGACAATAGACGTCCGCTCCAATGCGAACAACAGCTACTGAGGTGACGCATCAGTGCAACAGATGCTGAGAACGCGTGCTATCTTAACCGTCTATCGGACGACCGCCCTAGTACCGTACTCGCTGACAGCCGGCGAGCGGAGACGCGGCATTTTATTAGTATATTGGAGCTACACTCATGAAACGGAATTCGTATGAATTTTGAGTATTTGGGTCACGGACGCTTCGGCCGCCTTTTACTAAGCGCTTCAATGCACTCCGCTGACTTACCATTATTTTCAATCCAACCAATGCAATAGAATTTTTAAAGCTTGTATTATTTGAAATAAACATTTAAACCTGACTCACATTTTAAGATTCGGAAATTTAATTAATTAGACAACTTGAAAAAGAGAAAGTGCTTACCTCCAGAGGTCGATAAGTCAAATTCCCAAAGGCGGACGAGTTGATTATTTCCGAGGCCGGGCTCGAGGTGGTCAGGCACCGTGTACTCCTCGGCCGCCTCGAAGGAACCGCCGGGCAAGTACGGGCTGATGGTCGGCGGCGTCTGTTCCCAGATGTTGTCCCAGTCGATGCCCTCGAAGAATGGGTGGTTGCGGATGCTCTCATAATTGGTACCCTTGTCATCGGCCCCTAGCCTCTTTGTATGATCTAAAACTAATAGTTTCTCAACTAAATCCTTGGCGTCTGCCGGGAAGCCTTCAGGAAACTCATAATCCATTTTGAGTATTTTCTGGAAGGTGAGGAACTCGGCGGCGGCGCGGAATGGCGGCAGGCCCGATATCATCTGGTAGACGATGCAGCCGAAGGCCCACAAGTCGGAGGCGCGCGTGTTCACGCGATTCTGCAGCAGGTCTGGGCTCACGTACTGTGCGGTTCCCACGAAACTTATTTTTCTAGAGCGGTCATTTTTGCCGGGGCTATCGTCGTCCGTCTCCGCCGGAACCGTGCACGGCGCGTTCGATCTAATCTCTTCGGGAGGCAATATTTTAGCCGTCCCGAAATCGGCTATTTGTAAATGCATATTTTCATCTAATAATATGTTTTCCGGTTTCAGATCACGGTGAATAATACCTTCAGCGTGCATTCTTTCTAGTGCCAACAATAGTTCGGCAGCATAAAATTTAGCTACGTTAAGCTCGAAGGAGCCTACTTTATTTATATAAGGCAACAGTTCGCCATTCTTGGCGTACGACAAGACGAAATACAATCTCTCGTCGTCCTGGAACGTGCAATACAGCTTCACGAAACCATGTGGCGCATTGAACAGCTTGTTTAGGGCCTCTTTCTCGCGTTTTATGTATTCCCGTTTCTTGTGTCTTATTATATGAAGTTTCTCGCATACCTTGACTGGAAAGAAATATAACCTAATTAGTTAACAATACAATAAATTTTACACCTGTTTGAAAGTTTTAAAATTAATAAATTAAGTACAAAAAGCCGTCGAAAGAAATTTTTGCGATGAAGGAGTTTCAGGAAACTTACTTGCATATTCCTTTCCGGTGTGAATGTCCTTCGCGAGAAATACAGTGCTGTAGCAGCCTTCGCCAATCAGTTTGCCGAATATGTAATCTTTGGCAGTGCGTTTGGTGGGCCTGTAGGGGTGAGCGGGCGCGGGCGCCGCGGGACGCGCGGGCGCCGAGGCTGCAGCCGCCTGCGACGCCTGCATCCTAACCGGCGACTCCGCCGCGGACTCGGACGTCGCTATTGGAGCGCGAACTTCGCTTCCGGCTCGGCCGTTTGGCTGTAACAAACAGAATAACATTAGTAAATATTGAAAATTAAACTGATGATAACTATAATCGATAGATAAAGTATAACACATCATTATTATATTGTACACATGTATTGTAGTTGTAGACGTAGTGATTATACCGTAGGAAGTGCGCGAATGTGTCGGCAGCGGGCAGATGGACACGTCGTGGCTCCGCAGCAGCGCGCGCTTGTTTACGGCGATGGCGCGATGGCGCTCGCCTCGCTTCGCCACGCGGCGGGGCGAAAGGGGCGCCGCCGTCTACCGCACCGGATTTTTTCAGATCTCCAAACCGCCCAAATGTAATGATCTATCCGTTATAGATGCAACGAAACCGCGCGAACCGGATCCGAGTAACCTTTTGCTGTTTTTAATGACAGCTATGATGGCAATGACATTTGCCGAATAAAAACTTTAAGGCGTTTGACGTTCCGGACAATCTTTATATCGGATCGGTAAAAAACTTTTTATTGACTTAGATGGATACTATAATTAAATTATCGTTTCAAGAATAGAATTTTCAGGATTGACGATTAAATGACAAAGGCTAAAAATGTAATAAAAGGTCTTGCTGTAACAAATAATCAAATCGCACCGTTGGGTCGTACATTGGCCTAGCGAACAGTTCGACGATCCAATTTCTTAAGTTTGCGGCCGGTGTTTTTTGTGCGTTTCCTTATGAAGGTGTTTGAGATAGTAAAAAAAACGTACTACCATTCAATATAAGTCAGTATATATAGATAAGAAGTTGAGCCGTTTGCAACCATCTCTTTCTAGCGACGAGTATTGCGGACTACACGGCTAACGGTTATTTCACTAAAGACCATTTTAATGAAAAACAAAAGAAAGTAGGTGGACTACGCGAATACCGTTGCTGGGATTTCTGAAACTCGGCGAATAATGACGCGAAGTTTACGCAAAATATCTAGAGTTTTTAAGTTATCCGAAGTACATACACCTTTAATTTTAACCTTTCTTTAAATTTTGCATTTCAAACTTTTCATGTTTTCATTAAAATCTATATATAAATATATAGATATAGATTTTTAAGATAATAAAGATGAAAAAACGAGCAGATTTTAGATGAAAATCTTCAACTTGATTTCGATAAAATAAATGAATTATAAAAGAAGAATGCAAGCTACATGATGTAAACAGGATTGACAGTCGGGGCAGACGTCCTCGACAGTGACCTTACACGGCATTATAGCAGATTTGTTTTGCACTTTCTTGTCATCTGTAGATTAATTTAATATACACACTATCACATTTATCGACCTAACAATTTTGCATTATGTAAACAACTGTATTTTCAAATGAATATAATGTTATTTACATTTTATTTAATTGACCAAGAAATCACGAGAAAAGGGCGGCATTTTTGAGACCTAATCTTTAATTTGTTTTAGAAAATTGTTAGAAACACAAATTCAATTGCCATGATTTTATAACATTTTTATTCAAATTAAAAATATCCGCTGATAAAATTAACTTTGGATTTACGCTTGTGTTGCCTCAATTATAACATTCAGCTTGAATGGTTTCCTATTGGTGGCCTCATCGTCACAGATGAAACTGTGCTGTGTTTGTTTATTCGTTGAGAAAATATGATCTGAGTGAGTAGTAAAAGGACGAGCCACGGCCCGGATTCGGTCTTCGAGTGTGGTCGATTTAAGTGGCGCATGAGTCACTAATAACAATCGTGCTGGTCCATGCAAACCGCAAGTGGGTCTCGCATTCCGCGCGGAGCGGCGCACACCGGCGCAACGGTACTCGGAGCGCATTCCCATCGTAACGCATTCCGCGGCCTCGATCCCCTCCAACTCCCCTGCTCCCCGACCTTTCCCCCCGCTACCTGTCTCATACCCCGGGACGGCGACGCCCGCACCTACGAACACATTCATCAAGCCCCGACCAAAAAAATGTTATGGACCACCAGAGGTTAAAAAAATCGACCTACCTTAATGTCGCTTATACTGATTTCAAGCTAAGCCGTTGTGCGCCACTCGGCTATGTTAACATTGCTTAGTCTAAGCTACATCCGGTTATGACACCGCGCATACCATTCAATGTTGAAATGGCGTGGCCATAAAAACTATTCGAGTATAGTCACGATAATATATTAAATGTACGCATCAAAAAACAGCACATTAGTAATATCACATAAGTTTTGTTTATATTTTCTTTAGTTTAATTTGCGGTATAAAAACAGTGAATGCTTATCTAGTAAGTAGGATTTACCGAGACATGTTATGTCCACGCCTGATCTGAATGACTGGCGCCGAACATTTTTATCTATGTTATTTATAGGTACAAAAACTTGTTTTGTAACACACTACAGAAAGTATTAGTTCAAGAATAAATTTTCATAATTACTTGAATATTTATTCAATATAAGTATTAAGCGATTTTTAGGCCAAGTAAGTTATGATGAATTTTCCCAAACTGTTCCCATTAAGGACTTATCGCTTCTATCGGCGTAGATAAATAATGTGGGTGTACGCCTACATTACACATTACGTGTTCGCTTTGCCGATACCGATGACGTAGGTCGCGGCAAACAACTTCGTAGTGCTGTTGGTCTTAGATAAGAAAATATTTGCAAATAACATAATCTCTGCAGTGGTTCCTTGCACAAACCTGTTACCAATAAACAATAAAATAGTTTAATGTCAGGTTCGTATTTTATTTTGGTTTGGTTTATGCAAAAATATTTACTTTCGAACAAGTAAATTATGAACGTTTCAAAATAAAATTATTTTGTAAACCAAAAATACTTTCACTACGATAAAATAATTTACTGACATTTCTGAACACATGTCTGACAAATTCTGAATACATACATGTAAAATGGAAATAAAATATCTTCTAGATTAGAATAGATTCATCGTATTTTTATAGTTTCAATGTAATGCAATGAGTGATGAATGCGGATCGTTAAGCGTTTGTAGTGTTGTAAACAAGACGGTCACGCCGACGACGCGTGAACAAACAAGTGCTGTGTCAGTGCGCCCCGCGTCGGTCCGTGTAGTGTAGCGTCGCGTCGACGTTCTCTGTAGTGTGTAATGTATACACACATAGTCATTCGTGCGCCAGTCGGTCGGTCATTCGCATGTCACTGTACTTTGTGTACATGAAAAACACCGAGCGAAAGTACGCGAACAGACTAGTGCAGCGAAAGTTTATCAACAATTCACTTGGCAATTCTTTGCCACGTCGCATTTTATTCTGTATACAATATTAAGATAAAACTTAAAAGAAAATAAAACACCACACATAACTCTAAATCATTTTCATCAACTTACGTATAACAATTAAAAATAGCACAAAAAAGCTAACTACCAAGAAAAATATAACGTATAACATTTTGTTATAATATTTTATTCATGTGTTTTTTTTCAAATGCAATGTTTATGTTGTACTATTGAAGTACTCTACAACTGAGCTAATAATCCATAGAAGGTAGATAATAACAAGAATAAGAAATAAGAAGCACAGCGTCGTTGACCTTACCTTAGATTTGGGCGAGGGCTGTTTCCCGCGCTTGGCGGAGCTCACGCCGAGTAGTCGCAGAATTCTGTTAGCTGCTTCAAGAAGTGTGGCACTACCCCTCGATCCCCTTTTAACTCTGACGGTCAATCCGCTCATTTCTACCCGTCGCATACGTTGAGTCCAATCGTTTTATTGAAGTACGAAACGGTCAAAAACACGATCACAGTTCATGAAGTTCGCTTATTAAAATTTGAAACCGTTACAATCACTAAATTTAACTTTACGGTACAGCAAGCGAATGCTTTCTATATTGGAATGCAAATTTATTTAGATAAATTACTAATACACTAAAAAAATAATTTAACGTTGTTTAATTTCAGTTTTAAATAAAAACAGAGAGCGTCGCGTACGTCCGTTACGTTCAACAGCGCGATGCAGACTAGATTCGTAACAAACACAGCGCTTGACGTGAGCGAGGCATTGACTACGTCCTCCGCTCTGTAGACGGAATAATCGCACGGTCGTCGTTTACGTACGGCGCGGGGCGGGGGCGGTGGGGCGAGAGGAGCAGTGGCGCCCCTCAAACTCCCCCTCCTCACACCGTCTCTGCCCCACACCCCTGCCCTGGCATACGAGTGCATATGCATAGTTTGTCAAACTTGCTGCCTTCCCCGCTGCCGCCGCCGCCCACCCGAAATGTTATACGATTTCATGTTGTAGTTAGATAGTTACATGAAATATCCATTACACACTTACCGATATATTCCTACTAATTTGTACTTTGAACTTCAAATTGTGTAAAATTATTATTTTACTTTCCTGTGTAAACTTGTTATTTTTACATTATTAGATTAGATACGACAATACTTTCGATAATTTATTTACCGAAATGTCTTGTAATAAAAATAGTGTGCAGTTAAACACACACATTACTAAAAGAGAGTGTGTACTACCTACATATATGCACTTTTTTAGGATTGGATTATTTCAAGGGAAGAAAAGATGTACTTTACTTATTAAGTTTTATAAATAGAAAAGTATGCATTACGAAAATAAAATTTTCAGTAAATAGTTTTTACTATTTTGACCACGTGGTTTTGTTTTGATATTTTCGAGGGCGAGTATCAAAACGAAACGTAGAAAGGGGAAGGGGCGGCGGCGGTGCGCGGTGCCGAGCAGTGGGGGCGAGTTGTAGGGGAAGAGGGAAAATCAATAATATTAAGATGTGCAGTAAAGAAAGCCGCGAGGCCGCGAACCAGTGCACGGAAATGTTAACCGCCCACAGAATGCGCTAAAATCGACCTAGTGCACTGCGCCACTGGCGTATTCCATGCAACGATTTTATCTGATCCGGGATATGCAACGCCCTCTTTATACATTTTCAAGAACATTATCGCTTTGAAATTCGTTGGCAAAGTCGAAAACGTTGTATAACAATGCTTAACCATGTTGAATTACGATTTCTATTCTAATTTATTGTTTTAATAAATATTTTTTCAAATCTCATTTAATTTTATCAAAGCTACCCCTCACCCCTCAAAAAGATAAGTAGGTCTTCTGAACGGAAGAACATTCATCGCGTTACTGTTGCGTGTTTAGTAAACAGGGGCCATATTGTCTATTGCCAGTGGGACGACTGTCGTCGGTGCAGTCATATGGGCACATGTTCACAGATCGCACGGCTGCACGTGCCGAGACAGCTGTGCGCACGATTCAGCCACGATCTACCTAAAGCAACAAAGGCACGAGCCATTTCGACAAAAAAAGGTTAGAATAAAGGAAGTCCCATAAGATTTTCTTGGACACTACTATAGCTGTATTTCTAAAAGAACCAGTATCGTGGTTTGTAAAAAAAATTATAAGTACATAGGGCATATTGAGTCAAAAACTCACATAATAAAAACCGCTCCATGATATCTGTAATATCGACACATTCTTTTAATTATAACTACTTGGTGATAAATAACTCAATTAGAAAATAATTTTAATTTTTCACATAATATTCTTGACATGCCATCTTCATTAAGTGTTCTGGGAAATTTGAAGAATGTTCCAAATCGTTAATTATCAAAGAACGTCAGCTATTTCCAGAATCCCATTTAATACGTCTACGTTATAATTATAGCTTATTGTTGTTGATGTTATTAATACAGTTTGTTATATTATTGAACGAACAATTTGTTTTTAAAACGAAGGGGATCTTTCGGTGGCCCGCATTCGGTTACGCCCTCCATACGGGTGTACGGTACATTATAAATGAGTTACAATGTACCGTTGACTTAAAATAATTACCGATATATTGCCCCATACTGTGCTCAACAAATATTATAGAATTTTCTTTTATATTGGACAAACTCGCTATAACTACGTGTTATGATCTATAACCAATAAAATATAAGTGAACGATTTAAACGCTAGTCAAAGGGACAAATTGAATTTGATAATCTTACTAATATTATAAATGTGAATGTTCCGTTAGATGGATGTTTGTTAGAAGAATTTGCTTCAAGAATACATAGGCTACTACTACTAATTAAGTTTTTTTATTTTTAATTCCGTGTGGACGGAATTGCGGGCGATAACTAGTATAACAATAGAAAATCATTATTTTTGGCAGATGAGTAATCGTTTAGGATACATCAGCACAGACACAACGTGGATTAAGTACACCAAACCTACCTACTATTGGGTTTAGTAAAACGGTACCTAAGAACTTTCATTTCCTTTGTATCTATCATCTGCTTCTAACATCTGTTGTAGCTAGTCCCTATCGAATCGAATTCGTGTTATATTTGAGAATTTTGAGCACAAGGTGATATTGAAGCCAGGTGGCAATTGGATTTTTTGTTGTAGTTCGGGGCTCGCCATCCCCCGAGTCTTGGGCTCCAAACAAAACAAAACGCAACGATACCCGTGCATTGAACCCAACACCTGGCAAGCTTCTTGCCATCAAAGTACTAACCGTGCTTCAACAAAAGCAATTAAATACACGCCTTCAGAATCATAAATCAATATTTACTATAAGATGCAATGTCTCAATTACTCCTTCTACCAATCTCCTGATCTAATACAGAATATGATGATTACCTTTACAAACTATGGGCACAAATAACTATCTAATAGTAATCACAATTATTTCTATTGAGAAGTTTGCAATTTACACGTGGTATGAAACTAAGGTGTCTTATTATTTAAGCACGTTTGAGAGGTTAATCGCCTTTAGGGAACTGTTAAATAACATCGACAATTACTGCGACATAATTACGGTCGTAATTTTTTAAATGAAACACGAACAAAGATAACGTTAATTAAATAACGACACATACGAAAGGTACATTCACGAGAAACATTTATCGAGGGTATTCGACTGAAAAATTATAAATGAAAAAGGTTCATATATAGACATCCTCCAAAAAATTTAATGAAACTTTAAAACACATTTGTACGACCAAAAATTGGAGACAATGAATAAAAAATGAATATCGATTTAATAAACTCAAAGTCATATATTTACAGTCTACATATTTATTTAAAGAAGTACAAAACGATGTAAAGGTATCGCGGATGTGTCAAAATTAAGACATAATTTAGTCGTTTTACGCTCAGTTATCCTAATAAAAAATATACAAACAAGCATCGCTTGACATTATCAATATATTTACAACAATATGTTCGATAAGGTGCTCGGCAATTTGATAAGACTGAGACGTCAACGTCGGAACCGTATACAACAATATATTGGACATTCATTCATGAACTATCAAGGAAAACAACAAATATAACTCGGGTCCAAAGTTTCTTAATGCTGCTCTTTAAATTCAGACGCAGATATAGTAGGATTTTGTATTATAATGTTGCTCCCAATTAAATGTATCTTATTGTCTAACTAAGTCTTTGATAGATCACTGAGCAAGGAATTAAGAAACAATCACACCACGTGGTGTAGCTTTTACTTGTTTACTTCTTGTTGAATTCTTTTGCCGATAAAAATGCGTTAACAAGCTAAGTTAAGCTTCTCTTTCCATGTAGAGATCTTTTTAATCTGCCTTGTACAAAAAGGTCGTATTGAAATTAAAAAATAAACAAAAGTGCAATGACAAATCCCGACGCAGCAATGCGGCAGATGTTTTCATCGCACAGGTGCGTTTTAAGAACATCAGATATGCATGTGCGTAGCAAAAACAATATTATGAACGATACTTATACCATTTACGTCCTAGAAAAGATCTCTTATCGATGTTTTCTTTTAATTATCGAAGTACTAATAATTGCCACATTTGTGTTAAAACATAGAATTAGCCAACTGTTGAATACTCTGAAACAAATTGGTTAGAATGATATTAGAGTAGAAATGGTATTTGAAGTTTGGGGAGTGAAAATATATTCATTAATATTAAACTGTTTTTTTTATTGCAATCAGATTTCGCAACAATAATCAGTTTATAACAATATAATTGTTATAATAATTGTTACCTTATTATTTTCGATAATAAGATACTTATAATGTAAACTAATTATTACTCTGTCCCTGTTACGAGGATAACTTAATATATTTCTCAAATTAAATCTGCATTACATTATCTTCAAGTTTATTTTACGTATATATGTATGTGTATTACCAGAGGGTTTCCGAGACTTAAATTTCTGTATAAAATATATCGTCATCCCACTCATTGTCTTTAACAAAACAGAGATAATATGATTTTATTAAACGGGGATTTTTGTCTCAGAAACTGACGAATGTTATTAACAGGAAAATATGATATAATCTGTCAAATTAAATATTTGTAAATTAGCTGCATCGTTAAAATTAAACCTTGCAATTCACAGTCAAAATAAATGACGTCAAATAATGACTAAACGGGTAAATAATATCCAAGCAAATACTATCATATTAAACCAAAACCCACATAATATTGGATGGATGGATGTTTGTTTGGAGGTATCACGTGAACGGCCTAACGGATTTCGATGAAATTTGGCTTAGATGTAGAACATAGTCTGGAAGGACATATAGACTGCTAATTAAGATATTTTTCTTTAATAAATTGCTATAATTTACGTCAAGAAACTTTTAGTGTTTCGATATAATTCAAATCGGATGTCCTGTATAACATATTTAATCCCTAGGATGTATATTGCATTGTAAGTGACAGGACAAAGCGTGCATAGAGACAGTAATTTATGTTATTACCTGCTTAGTCGTTCATAGCGCTTTGCACATCTTGAATTATTGGCACGTGTAAGACATGGAAATGCAAGATATGCATTCGTGGACAAGATGAACACAGTCTCGCCGCATGCATGTTACCTTGTAATAAAATAGGACAAACTTACGCGTGCCGAGCCGTCAACGCAGCGTAAGCGTATTTACTACAGACGGTCCAATTCACTTGTGCATTGTTTCATAAGCAGTATTTTGTAAACGATTTGCCAAGAAACTAGTTCATTGCGGTTACAACATTCTTCGATAATATACAGGTTGTTTTTAATTACATCATGTT